AAATGTTGCATACAGTAGTGCCTGCTGACCTACTCGAGAATGTAGACGACATCGCTGTTGTCTACATGGAAATTTGTGCTTTCTACCGTTGTAGGTTGGCCTTCTGGGGTGATGCTTTCAGGTTTCATAGCCCTCTTCTTTCCTAGGTACCGAGTTGGTGGACCCAGGGCCGTAAAATCCAGCGACAGGCATTTTCGAGTGGGGTTGCTGCACTGCTGAGTTCCACGCCGAATCGTGCAACTGGACAGCATCAGCTTGTGCCAAACCCTCAACCCCAGACCCTTAACCCTTGACCTGTAAACCCCGCAAAACCATAGCAAGGGACCCCGAAACCCTAATCCTCTAAACCTCATGGAACCCTTATACAGCACAAATAGACCCTCAACCGTAAACCCCAAGACTCTAAACCCTCAAAGACATGAACACCCAAAGAATAGCATTGGTAATGAGTTATTTAGGTTTTGATAATTTATATGCGCTCTGTAGGGATTTTGCTTTAGGGCAGTCGGGGTTTTGGGACTTTGGACGCAGGCTTGGAGCGAAAACTGCTTGGGATTGTAGAAAGGCTGTGGGGCTTGGTGGGGTTTAGGGTTTAGGGCCTAGGTTTTGGGTTTTAGGGCCTTGGTTTTGAGTTTAGGGTCTAGAGTCTGGGGTTTAGGGCTGAGGGCTTTGGGACTTTATTCGGATCTTCTTAGAGGGTTACTGGGCGGGGGGTTATAGTTTGCCTCGGATACTTTCCCCCATTCAACAACAGCTGAATATTTCGTATGCATATATATATATATATCTATCTACATATATATATATACAGGTATATTTATCATATATATATATGTATGTTTCATATATATATATACACGCATTAATATACATACACTAGATATATAAGGCCCTTAATGCTTCCCTTATCCATGGTTAATGCTACCCTTATCCTAGAGTGTTACTGTATGGAGTGTAGTACCCCAAAGCACCCCAAAGCCTAAACTAAACCCCAAAGCATACCCAACCCTCAACCATACACTGCCATACACCCTAATACCCAACAATCGGAATGTAATTGTCGACCTTGAAAAGCCAACCCCAACATCCAAGTGAAGCCTTCCAAGACTGGCCGAGACAAACCTGAGCCTGAAAACCCCATGAAAGTGCTCAGTATGTATATACGCATATATATATATGTACATATATA